ATATATTATAATATATTAAATATACTAGTATAATTAATATCACGCTATAACTTGCTAGTTGTGGCTATTTTATAATAGCCTTAGCTATTATTATATAGTTAAACTTTATATATTATTATAATTTTATAGCTATAATTTATACTAAGTTATACTAAAAACCTAAAATACCTATATATATAGTATATTTATATAGTTTTACTTATATTTTAAGTTAGTTTTATTTCTTTTTATTTAAGTTATTTACTTTTTTTATTATTAAAACCTTATTATAATAATATAACTAATTATAAATTATTACCCTTATATATATATATTTCTTATAAGTATTTATTAATATTTATTATAGCTATTTATAAATAATAATAATATAAGCTTTAAAGGTACTAAAAAACCTAATATAAATAAGTTATTTATTATAACTTTTAGAGGTAAAAAGCTAATAAAACTTAAAAAGTAATATAATTAATATTAATTAGATTAAAAGCTTTTTATAATAAAAGGGATAGCTATTATAAAGCTAAAAATCTTAACCTAATAAAAATTAAAAAAAATAATAAAATTATTAAAAATATAAAAAAAAAGGCTTTTAAAATTATAAAGCTAAAATATAATTTTAAAAAAGCTATTACATTAATTATAAAAAAGCTTAATAAAACTAATAATACTAAAAGTAAAGCTATTTAATAAATTTATATTAATAGTTTTACTTTTTTTAAAAGGTTATTTATTTATATAAAAAGTTAATAAAAACTTTTTATTTTAATTTTATAATTATAGCTTTTATATAACTAATATTATTTTTTTATAACAAGAAGCAAGCTCTTATTGATTAATCGAAGAATATTATCGCGTCCAAAAAAAGGAGATATTCGTGTTTGTGATCTGATTGAGAAACAAGGGATGGACAGCTTAGGCTTTTCTAGCTCCAAGTGTACCACCTCGTATGAGAACTGCGATGAGTAGCCAGCGCTTGCCGATGGCGTCCTGGAATTCTGCTTCAAATTCTGCTTCGGTTCCTCGCTAGGGAGTGACAAAAAGCGGTTCTGTTCAGACCCTTAGGGAGTATCAGAAGCTGAGGCGTTCTCGCTCGATGAACCCACGATTCGTTGCATCATTCTGCTTCTGTGGCTTCTCAGACTATGTATATCCCAACCATCTAGGACACTGCCATCGATGTGCACCTCGGAACGCGCTGCGAGAGAGTCAGGAGGCATCGGGATGGGTAATGACTTACCATCAAAGTCTTGAGGCGTTGACGCAAGTTTTTGTTTTGATACTGCGGCGTTAATCTTGCAAGCTATTGCTTTGTACAACTCCCCACCAATCTCTACTTTGCAAATATTTTCATGATTGCTCGAGATCCCGTAAAGCATAGCAGCAGAATTTGAAGGAAAGCTTGCCAGCTCTTGTGTGACCACCTGCTGGTTCATGAGTAGTTGATATTAATACGTATTATGGAGCAATTTCACCCGACGAGATCTTGCAAATTGGGCCTTCAATTTCACGCCTCGATATTTGCTCTCAGTAGTCTCAAAAGTTGAAATCACTTGACCTCCAAAATTCGAGAAGCCTCGTGACAACCGCACAACCGCTCGATTATCCTCTTTTGTGAAAGACAGGAACGAGAATGGAGCAGCACTCGCTCTCACTATGCTTTCGACAATATTGAGGTCGAGTCGACTGGCGTCTTCAATATGTGGGGTTCCAAGAAACACAACCCCAAATATATGATCCAGGACATTGTTGTTCTCATACCTCTTCTCAGCCATGTTTGCATAGGCCTTGGAGACGTCAGCTGAGTATGCATTCGTCCGTAGTGGGAGATATACACACCTGTTTCCATATCAATCCACCAAGGCTTTGGCATACTATCAGGATGGACCTACGAGGCTCCTTTCTCTTTTAGTGGCAGCTTGCATTTCACACTGACTAGTGCTTACATCTCTCGGATTAAGTCGGTGAAGTTCTGCCGGAAGCACATGGCTCTGTTGTAGTAGTGACTGCAAAATGGGCTGCCCCTTTATAGCTTCATAGACATAGTGCCAGATACAGACACTCTGGCCATGAGACTTCTGCACATCTTTGAGCCATTCTCCCGATGAGGTCTTCCAGTCGGTAGGGCGAGGAAGACCAATGCCAGGGACGATTACAACGCTGTAATCAATTAGTCCGCCATAACAACTGCGGCATGGGAGACTCGCTTCAACGCAACATCAACTCCAGAGTATATAGCTGGAGGATAGAAGAGATTCAATGACATGGTCTCGATGGACCAGAAGCAACGAGCCAACGAGTAAGCAGCAAAGGTAAGGGGCAATATGCGGATGCGATCTTGATGTGCAAAGCTCGCTGGTTCGAAATCCGGTTCACCCATAAAGGAGCAGCAGCCGACCATATAACCAGGTCGCGACTCAGGCCAGAAAGTCGACAGAGATTCCAGCCAGCTTGAAGACAAGCGCATGTGACGCACAAAGACGGAGAAGAAGGCAAAGCTGCATGCAGGAAGCCTTCAGTCGTATTCGGCGATGGCCAGGCTAATCAGAGTGCTGAGTTCTCAAGTAACGGAAATGAAGGAGCGCCTAATGTGCCGTGAAGTCTTCGATTGACTGGACGATGCCAATGGAGTCGCTTGGACATACACACCGCGTGCGTGCCCTTCAGCCCCTTTACCAAGTAAAGAAGCAAATATCGGCAAGACAAGGCCACCAATCCTGAGCCGCAACGCTACGCCCATATTAAGAGAGCGACAGTTCACGCCACCCTCCACTTTCCTCTCTGCCGGTGAGCCTCTTTCAGCCCTGGTGAGGGGAGTTGCCTGCCTGCCGCGTGGTTGCTCATGCAGTCTTCCCTTTTTGCAGCTTTTATGGAGCCTATAAACCGGTTCGTAACAGCCCTCATTTGGCTGCGATGAATGTGATGTAGTTCTTTATAATAGTGGCGGTTGTTGGGACATCCATTATCGTGCAATTTCTTAGTAAAGTTTAGTACGTTGACCCTTAGTATCCGCAATCTTATTGTTTTTATAGCCCTGTCAATACACTTTCGGGATGCGGCACGGCCCGTGAGGCTGAGACGGGTGCGGGGTTGATAGCGGCTTGGCATGCTGCCTAGGACGATTGAGAGACTAGATGTGACCAACTAGGTCACCTCTACGCACATCAAGAACGCTCGTGTCGCATTGCGTGCAATGCAGGGC